ATGGAAGGAAATGAGAGTTGCGTTTACCATGTACACACTGTAAATATTTTTCATCGGATAAACCAAAATTAAGTTACGCACAATTATGAGGCTCTACCTATGAAAAACGCGTTTTTAGACCTTAAGTCCAGATTTGAGGGGTATTCAATGTTATAAGTGTGAATATTTTTTGTGCTTCACAAGATCTATAACTTTAGCAGTCACACAGTGTTATAATCCCGACAAAATCCTTGACGGTGGTACCGGGAGGGGAACGGTACATGACAGTAGGAGGTTTAGTTTGGGTTAAAGTCTCACACTGACGGGCTTAGGCTTTCGATGCTTCCTCCTCGTAAAAAAAACATGCGCAGTTAAGAATTAACTATTTAAATCGACGAATAGTTTTATATAAACTTTTGTGAACTTCTGTTTATGTATTTTTGTACAACAATAATTTTAAGCTATAATAAACAATTGTTTAGTAAGTAATAGTTATTGGCTTTGAAAAAATGGTTTTTGTATATAAGGACCTTCCCCCCCCTAAATTTCGTTCTGGCTACGTCCATGCTGCGAACGTTGTATTATAATGTCGCAAGGACTAGTCACTTTTCTCCAACATAGCAAAAACTTGGTGCAAGATCTATTTTTGCATAAAAACACAGAAATATTAAAAATAGTGCGGATTTGCGATCAGCCATGCTCCCCCCTTTCACTAGTACGCGGGTAAGGGAAATACTACCCGATTGGCGCTTACACATATGAACATATGTTAGTGTTTGGTCGAGCTTCCGGGCTGGAACCCAGGCCTGGGAAATAGTAGCGCGCACTGCTTACCACTACAACACAGTGGCCGCCAATACATGTTATGTTTTTTAAATCGGACCATCCTTATGACGTTGGGCGTCTGTTGAAATTGTAGAAATAACCATTTTCTAAATATAAAAAATATAAGCTTTTTAGGTTACGAATGTAGATAAGTATTAGAGTGTATTTTTATGCAAAAGTATATTTTTCGTAAAATTTTTGCTATTTTCGGGGACAGTTACTAATGCTTGCCATATACGCTCCTCGTGGCAGTTTGCCAAATTTTAACAGTTTTCAAACTTTTTTCCCTTAGTGAAAGTGTTTCAAATACATAGCAAATTTCAGCAAAATCGAGATACCTTTACTACCTTTTCATACATCTTTTATAAGATGTGCCAGTGTGAGGCATTCAATTTATGGAAGATAAACGACATGGACGCAGGCCGACGCAGCTGACCCTGGTTTTACTATTAGTTTAACGCGTACAAAGTATTTTTGTACCAATCACCCTCCACAGTACGGCACCGCAAAGTACTTATACTCTCCAGAAAACACACTGAAAATGCATAGTACCACAGAAATGTCCTTAACTCTGTAAGGAATATCATAAATTATGAAAATCTGGTTTGGAGCCACCCTTGCGTACTATTGAACTTGATATTGAAGATGAAGACAAACCCAATTTCAATCATTCATTCAAAAACCCTTGCTGAGCCCGTAAAATATGTATTCGAATTCTTAAGTAAACAATCTATTCATACAAACCGGCTTCCTGGGTCTTTGCTAGAGTAGTTTTTCTCAGGATAAAATCCTTATAACCTGTTTGTAGGCATTTTTAAAATCGAATCAACCACTTAGTTGGATATATCCACACATTTCGAAATTAGGGCTTTCTGCCACTCTCAGACCACTGTGAGTCCGATTGAGGCTAGCTGGACCTAATTATTTAATTGGATTTCAGGAGATATGCCTCTAATAAATAATAAAATTAAATTAATGATGGAACAGTAAAATGTTTGTTTATTTAGATTAATTTTTATGTATACAAAACAAGGGAGATTTTATTAGATATCGCGCTCGCTGATAGTTATCAAAGTAATACAAATTAAAACATTAACAAATCTTTCAACTATAAATTGAATGTATGCTCCACTAATGTGTTACTAAAACAATCTAATTTCTTAATCACTATCGCTAAATCTCATTTCTGACGAGTTATATCCTTTAAATAAATTGTTATTTACAGTCCCTACATTGAGGGAAAAAATTCATAGTATAAATGAATACTTTGATTATCGATTAAAAATGTTCGTATTTAAAAATAATATTCATTAAAAAATTTATTACGCCCGTATTTGACTGTTCAAATCTGAGTATGTATATGTAAGTGTACATACCCTGTAGGATCATGGAATAGATTTAGAGCACACCACAAACTAGACTGCAAGTGATTGTAAGTAGTCCAAAGTTAAGTCCAAGAACATGTAAAAATTTACTTACATTCCTGAAGGAAAGATTGGTCCAATTGCTCGAAAAATATAGTCGTAAGTATAGTAGTTTTGTATGTGTCCAAAAATGTAAAGCAATGTAATGTAAAACAGGTGAATTGTACAAAAAAAAAAAAAAAAATGTGTGAATCTTTTTATTTAACCAAACAAGCAAAAATTTTAGATTTTTAGTATCTTCTTAATTATTTACCAACAACCACATGATCAAGTGAATTGCAGCGGAATAGCTGCGCTTGATTGTGTTGGCATAACAAAAAATGAAAATAGTGGAAAAAAGCAAACGATAATTTACAAGGCGTACTTAGCATGGTGCATAGGCAACTGGCTGAGTCAGTGGGATCCTCGGTTCGAATCCTACTGAAATAAGTCTGATGAGGAAATGTGGTGATTTCCGAAATAGCTATCACTTCTACCATTTTTTCAAATTATTGCTGCTTTTCCACAATAAATTTTCATTTAAAAAACTGCCTCGAGCTCAATATAAATTGGTGAATATAATTGTTATAAGGCCAAAAAAAAAATAACAAAAAAAAATAACTTAAGGACGAGCACACCTAAAAGTTAAACATTCTAAAAATAGAATTATTAGCAAAAACTAACAATACCAACAACGACATGATCAAGTGAATTGCAGCGGAATAGCTGCGCTTGATTGTGTTGGCATAACAAAAATGAAAATAGTGGAAAAAAGCAAACGATAATTTACAAGGCGTACTTAGCACGGTGCATAGGCAACTGGCTGAGTCAGTGGGATCGTCGGTTCGAATCCTACTGAAAGAAGTCTGATGAGGAAATGTGGTGATTTCCGAAATAGCTATCACTTCTACCACTTTACAACGCTTTTATCAACTTGCAATGTTGTGAGTCCAGAAACTTTCAATGTTGTGGATCCATAAACTTTCAATGTTGTGTGTCCGACACCATAAAACCTTTGCTTTGAAAAGCTCCTATAAAAAAGCATAGTGCATAGGGCGACATCTGTAGTGAATAGGGCGAGGTAGATGACATCTAGATGTCGCCCTATGTACTACGTTTGCTACAGCGGAAATAGACGACACGCCATTTCTTTAAATAAAATTAATTGGTGCTCGTTTGTATGTACATACATATGTAAATGCATGTGTGTGCACCTTTCTATTAATATCTATTGCAAAATTTTATTCAGACAGGACTAAAAAGTAGAAAATAAATAATACAAAAAAACTTTTTAATATACAACGCTTTTATAAATGGCTAAAAAGTAGAAAATAATATTTCTCAGTCCCATAGAATTTGTTTTGATAACTTTTGATTTTGAAATTTTAGCAAAAGTCATTATAAACAATATATGAAATTGAAAATGAAAAGCGTGGGGCGCATGTAATACACTTGAATTGATATGAAAAGTAATATATGTATGTATGTATGTGGGTATATGAATAACGGCCGCTAAAATCGATTTCAAAGTTCTTCTTTCGCTGTAGAAATTTTAGGTCTACGTTATGTAGTTTGACTATTGTCAATTAAATCGAATGCTTTGTATTGCATGCGCTCCACGTTTTTCATTTACAATTTTCCGAAATAGCTATCACTTCTACCATTTTTTCAAATTATTGTTGCTTTTCCACAATAAATTTTCATTTAAAAAACGGCCTCGAGCTCAATATAAATTGTTGAACGTAATTATTTAGTGTTAAAAACTACCATATAAAATGTTTTTTCTTGCAAACACTATCCAGGAAATCCATTGGAATTAAGTCAGTGTATTTTGTGCGTATCTAGTGGCGGCTCGCTATTTTGCTTGTCAACTGTTCAGTCCAACTTTTTTTGAGCTGACAAGTCAGAAACCGAGTTTAAGTTAGATTCTCGGAAGCAAAATGAGAGAGTTTCATATCATGTCATCCTAGATCACACTGTCAAAGAGCGAATCAACACGATTTTAGAGGCAGTCTTCTTGTGTTATTGAGGTACCCATTCGCAATGCAAATCGAAGAAGAACGAAGTACTTCAGACTTACGCCACTAGCGACGAAATTTTTAAAGCTATCGACCAAATTTGTACAGAACAATAGTTTGAAATGGAGCAAGTCTGCGGATATTAGTGGTTGGAAAAACGAAAGGAGCGATGTCTAGGATGAAGCAAGAGGCAGAAAACGCCACGAGAAGTCACTGCATGATCCCATGAGCCGCCACTAGATTTAAAACCCGTATTGAATGACGCTGCGAAGATAACAGAGGCCTGCGAAATTAAAATACGTATCTGGCTTTTTCTAGCACGACGAGATTTTTTTTATTGGTGACATGTATATTTTAGAATTTCTAGCAATTTGCATGAAAACCTCATAAATAAACAAAGTAATCAGAAAAACGTATGTAACTTCCAAGTTAACGCTAAGAAAATTGATAACACCCGGTTTCACTAGCAATTTCCATATAAAATTCAAAAAATTAAAATCATTTATCACTTATATTGCTTTCGTGAAATTGGCTGTAAAAATTATTTTCTTAGCGTTATTTTCTTCGCTGGTTATCGAAGATCGAACATCGAAAGTGAAATTATGAAATTTTTTGTCGAACAGTGTTAAGGGGGGTCGGCTCCTCTTTAGGCTGCTGAGATCCGGGCGTGGAGTGACGGAGATGGTGTTGCGGTTGAAGGTCGGCGAAGGTTGCGGCGGTGGTGGCTAGATGGATCGCTGCTACTATGGTGACGGTGACTGCCTTCTGGCGGCGATGTGGTATTCCCGCGGCGGGGAGGCTGTTTTGGCGAAGATGGGGCTGTTGTGCTCCCGTGGGTTTCGGCGGCTTCCTTGCGCAAACTCACTTGGCTTTCAAACGAGGGGAGTGGGCTGGCGCGCTTACCGACACGGATTTGGCGACTGACCAAGATTGTGACTCGCAATAAAAAAACCGAACTTGAATTTTAGGGTACAATTTCGTTTATTTAGTAATCTTGAGGACGGTGTTTTTTATTAACGCAAAGGTATTTCTGGGTTGCGACCGCACACGACAAACTTGAACAATTTTTATGTATGTATAATAATTCTTTGTTGACATTTGTCAACCTATATGTCAGCTGCGCGCGCTGCATTACCAACGCGCGTTGCCAACCACTCAAATTCAATGCAAACTACTTATAAAACTTTTACAATGCAAGTTAGGGTATTCACTAAATACGTTTTACAAGTTGGATAATTGAAGATACTAATAGGTAAATATAAATATGCAAGTTATCAATTTAAACAATTCAATGTCATACATAGTGCACTTTTGCGTTGTGCCAAATTACAATTTTAAGGAATTCAATTTTGTGAAAGGTGCATTCTTGCGTTGTGTTAAACGACATTCTTAACTCGTTTAACTATCCTGCCGCCCCTAGACGCGTTAAGCGGATATACTACCCTCCAACTCCCGTAGCTTTCGGATCGCCTCCTTAACCAGACTCCGTGTCGCCCTGCCCCGAGGTGCTGTGTTACGCACTATATGTGCGGTATGACGAACCTTCTTTGGGTGCCGGAATTTTTGAGGCTGCTGATATGCGTTGGGGGTGACTCCATTGCGGGGCGGTCGGCGCAAGCGGTAGGATGCGGATTTGGATGGCGCCGAGATTGAGCGTCGAGCCGATGTGGAGCGTGGCGCTGAAGCTGGAGCTGAACGTGGCGGTGGATGTGCTTGGGAGGTGTTCTTGCGGTGAAGAAGGGTGTGATGGCGTTGGGCGCAAAGCTTGCATACGCCAGCGGATGGACATTCACTGCTGTGATGTGACAGCGCAAGACAGTTAGTACAGAAGTGGTGTGCACGAGCGATCAGATAGCGTTGCGATGGCTGCATTGCGCGAAATACGTGGCATGCGCGCAGGGCATGGTGACGTGCGCACAAACGGCATCGCTGATAGTCCGCTCCTTCATCGTCGGGCTGATTGTCCGGAACCGAATCAACAACCATGGCCTCTTGTTGCGGTTTTTGTACAATACGGGGTGCCGGGGTTGGACCACCGCTGCTAGCTCGCGGTTTGGGTGTAGGAATGCTGCTGCTGCTGCGCGGTGTAAGTGTCGGGCCACCATTGTTGCTTCGTGGCGCAGGTTTCGGGACGCCATTAGAGTTGCCGTTCTCCATCTGTAAGTAAGCCGGTGAAATACGATTTTCAGTGGGGAGTCCACAAGACAATTGAAGAAACGTGAGATGAGAATATTTTATTCAGATACACAGAGATTTAAATTCATTTGAGATAAGAGAATCTGTTATCATGAAAGTGCTTAAAGGCTTTAACAAGTGCTAATTTGGAGAAATCAGAGGGGGGCGTCGCCAATTGGTAACGGGCATATTTTGACTATGGGGCGAGTAAGGGTGCCAGATTGAGTGCGTATATCGACAACTCGAACATGTCCGTCTTTGCCGGGATGTGACCTTTCGATGCGGCCTAGACGCCATTCAGTGGGAGGTAAAGTATTGTCAACAATAAGAACGCAGTCACCGACTTTCGGTTCTGCCTGGGTATTTTTCCATCTATATCTCTTCTGTAAATCCTTGATATAATCCTCTTTCCACCTTCGACTAAACTCGTGATGTAACACCTTCACTTTTTCCCACCTATTAAGGAGGGACAGATGGCTGTGGTCGACTTCAGGGAGTGCTAAGAGGGGGGCGCCTCGTAAAAAGTGGCCAGGCGTAAGCGCTGTGAAGTCTGTGGGGTCTTGGGATAGAGCAGAGATTGGCCGGGAGTTTAATACGGCCTCTATTCTGACTAACAGGGTGGTGAACTCTTCAAATGTGAATTTGCTGGGTCCAGCAGTCCTTTTGAGATGCATTTTGAAACTTTTGACTGCGGACTCCCACAAACCGCCCATATGGGGGGCTCCTGGCGGAATAAATTCCAAGTTGATGCCTTGAGGTGAGTATTTCTGGATGACGTCTTGAGATACCTCCTTCAGAAATTCGATGAACTCCTTTTCGGTTGCTCGTTTGGCCCCTACAAAGGTTTTGCCATTGTCGCTCATCATCTTAGCGGGATAACCCCGTCGTCCGACGAGGCGAGCAAACGCAGCGAGAAATCCGGCAGTGGTCAGATCGGAACACAGCTCGAGGTGGACTGCTTTTGTAGTGAAACATACAAAAACAGCCACATAGCCCTTCACCAACGTGTGCGATCTTAGCATTGAGGCCTTTATCTGGAAAGGTCCAGCAAAACATTGGAAGATGCATTTTTTTATGAGGGGCTTAAGCCGAGGGATATAAAATTCCTGCCTTATGACTTGCTGCATGAGACGAGTTTCTGCATGGAGGAGCAGTTCGTGCAGAAAGCGTGTGAATAGGATGGCGAACCGGGATTTTTCGGGAATAATGATGGGATGTCTTTCATTATAGCTCAAAGTGGCGTGAGCTAATCGACCATTCACGCGGAGCAACTCGGTTTTATCTAAAGACGGGTTGAGGGGAAGCAGAGGACTCCGTTTATCTATGGGTTTGGAGTTTGCTAAACAGGCCTTTTCCCGAGGAAAGTAGCGAGATTGGGTCAAAGCTAGGAGCCTGTATTTGCTATTACGGAGGTCATCATGGGAGAGAGAGATGGGATTATTTGACCTAACCTGTCTGACTCGGTTTCGAAGACACTGTATAAATTTAAAAGCATACGCCATAACTCTAAGTGCACGGGGAAACGAGGAGAAGCGATCAAGGATATCGTGATCTTCCTCTGTGGCATGTAATGCCTCGACTCGGCGCAATTCTGGAGGGGAGATATTTCGGGTGGCCGGTTTTGGCCAGGCTTCGGGTGGGCTTAATAGCCATTCCGGTCCATGCCACCAAAGCGAAGAGGTCGCTAAGTCCAGGGGTCTGCATCCTCTGGTGCCCAGATCTGCGGGGTTTTCTCTGCTGCACACATGCCGCCAGGTGGCGTTTCCGACGAGATCTAAAATTTGTGCCGTGCGATTGGAAACGAAGGTCTTCCATGAATGAGGGGGTTTTTCTAGCCATGCCAAGACGATCTCGGAGTCAGACCATAGTATCAGTTTCCTCTTAGATAGGTCGAGTTGAGACTGCACTACGGCGACCAGCTTCGCTAGGAGAAGGGCGCCGCACAATTCAAGTCGGGGTAAACTGGTGGTTCGGAGAGGCGCTACTTTGCCTTTGGAGACCAGCAGATGAGAAGAGGTCCTGCTACCATTCGTGGTTCGCACATATATGTTAGCGCAGTATGCTTTCTCGGAAGCGTCGCAGAAGCCATGTAGCTCGACTTGGTCGGCTGGGACAAAATCTACCCATCGGGATATTTGGATGCTAGAAATGGCTTGGAGATTGGTTGCAAATTGCATCCATTTCGTCAGACGAAGGGGCTTGACCTGGTCATCCCAGTCAGTTCCGTCCAGCCATAGTTCTTGTAGCAGGATTTTGGCTTGGATCATTATGGGCGTAAGCCATCCTGCGGGGTCAAACAATTTGGCAACTGCCGAGAGGATTTGTCGTTTTGTACTGGCGGATGACGCTGGGATGGAATCAACGGTGTACGAAAACGTGTCGGTTAGAGCGTTCCACTGAATCCCGAGCGTTTTAGTGGTGCTTGTTGTTTCAAATTCTAGGAAGTTTGTGTCAAGCAGGTCGTCTTTGTTGATGTTTTTCAAAATTTCAGGGTGGTTGGCTGTAATCTTTTTAAGTGGGAAGCCTGCCGAATTGAGCGCTTGGATGACTTGAGAGAGGGATTCTTCGGCTGAAGGGAGATCATGACCACCGGAAAGTATATCATCAACGTACGTTTCATTGTTTAATATGGGCACCGCTAAGGGGTACGTGGTTTGCACGTCATCTGCGAGCTGGTGAAGGGTACGTATGGCGAGGTAGGGTGCGCAATTCAAACCAAATGTGACAGTTTTCAACTTATAATCTTGTATTTGGCTATTTGTAGATGGTCGAAATACGATTCGTTGATAGTCTTGGTCGTCTTTGTGCAGCAGTATCTGTCGATACATTTTTTCGACATCGCCGTTAAAGACAAATCGATACATACGCCACTTGAGGATCAATAACATCAAGTCGGGCTGGAGGGTTGGTCCGGTGTAAAGAACATCGTTCAGGGAATGTCCGGACCCCGATTTCTTCGAAGCATTGAAGACGACTCGGACTTTGGTCGTTCTTTTTTCGGGTTTTATAACCGCGTGGTGTGGGAGGTAGAACGACCAATATTTGCCTTGAGAAGATATCTCGTGGGAAGTTGTTTCTTCCATATGGTTGAGGGTGAGATATTCGTTTAATACATTTTCGTAAAGTGATTTTAGATCGCCTTTTCTGCGCAAATTTCTTTCCATGCTCAGGCACTGTTGGAGGGCGGGGGTGCGAGACGGGCCAAGGGAGATAGGGTCTGGGAAGCTTGGCTTAAAGGGCAGTCTGACTACATAACGACCATCCGCTGCTCGTGTGGTGGTGGACTGATAGAATTTTTCACAGTTTTCATCATCAGGCAAAGTGAGCTTGGGTTTCGGAACCTCTTCTAGCTCCCAAAACTTTCGCAGCTGGGAATCTAAAACCTCATTGGAGATCGGTGCAGCTTGAGTGGAGAAACATGCTATTTTTTCGGGAAACTGACCACTTAAGATCCAGCCGAATATGGTGTTTTGTGCAAGCAAATTTTTGGAAATTTTCTCAATGCCTTCCAGCATTATTTCAGAAATGAGGTCACTGCCAATGACCAGATCAATTTGGGACGGGGAGTGGCAGTTAGTATCTGCTAGCTGCAGGTGAGACCATTTTTCTCGTTGTTCGAGAGTTGGCTGGAATTTGGGAAGCATTTTCGTCAACTGTGGCAGGACTATTGCTTGAGCCTTTATTTTCGTGGTCAAATCTGCGGAGGCTAAGACGAGATTGCATAGTTTGTTCGAAGTCTGAACAACTCTTCCTCCCATGCCAGAAATTTCAAAGTTAGAAGCTTCGTATGGTAGCCTTAGTTTATTTTGGGCTTTGGAGGAAATAAAGGTTCGTTCCGAACCCTGATCTATGAGAGCTCTGAGTTTGAAGATCTCGCCCTTGTGCTCAACTGGAACTATTGCTGTTGGGAGGAGAATCTTGCTCTCATTTTCCGAGTAGAACGACTGTACTCTTGCTCTGTTTGAGCATGAAGGCTCCTCATGATTTGTTGCCGACCCAGCTGGACTTTGTGGGTTGGAATTAGCGGGCGTCGTCAAAGCGACCTGAGATGTCGTTCTCTGAGTTCGAGACTGCTGTCTTGGAGGCATGGTGGGCGTGTCTTCATGAAGCATTGAGTGATGCCGTTCTTGACAATGGGAGCAAGTATATTTACTTGAGCAGTCTTTTATCAAGTGGGTCTGACATAGGCAATTAAAACAGAGGTTGTGTTCTCTCACAAACTTTCTGCGATCCTGAGTTGGCAGTTGACGAAATTTGGAGCACTGAGATAGAGTGTGTTGAGGTTTATTGCACATTGGGCATTTGTATGGTTTTGTGCGTTGTTCCGTCATGTGCGCTCGGATTTGGGAAAAGGAGTTGTTGTGAGAGTTCTGAGAGGTGGGGGGTTTAGGGAATGGCCTACTGTTAGGGGGGGTTGGCCTCGAGTAGCCTATTGTCGAAGGATTAGTCCGCGGAGGCTTGGGTGCACGAAATTGATCTACCCTTTCAACCACCTCGTATCGAGTAGTGAGGAACTGGTTCATTTGGGACCAGTTCAGGAGGTCCTTCCTGGAACTGAGGGATTGCTCCCATAGGGCCACGGTGTTCTCAGGAAGCTTGGAGGTAACCATGTAGATCAGAATGGGATCCCAGCTTTCGGTGGAGACTTGCTGTGTGCCTAGAATCTGGAGACAGTTATTCACCGATGATTGCAGTCTCTGTATGTCTTCGCTATTTTCTATTGGGATGGGTTTTAGATTCATAAGGATGCGGATTTGGTTATCTACTAAAACCCGTTTGTTTTCATAGCGAGCTTTTAGTGCTTCCCATGCCAGCTCGAAATTATCGTCACTCAGAGGGAATTGTTTAACTATTTGGGCAGCTTTTCCTTGCGTTTTGTACCTGAGATGGTACAACTTCTGCGCCTTAGTGAGCTTAGGGTGATTTATATAGACCGCCGTGAACATATCACGGAAGGACGGCCATTGCTCATAACCCCCATAAAAGGTTTCGGTGTCGCAAGGTGGGACGTTTAAGCTTATGCCTGAAGTTTCCTGAGGAAGTGATGTACTGGCTTTGGGAGTGGGACTTGTGGTTTGTGCTACTAACTGGAGTTGGTCTCCGATTTGGGCTTTTGTTTCTTCATATATAATCAAACATGACCTATATTTACTGTAGGCAGACGCTCTAAAGTCTTCGGGGAGGTCATGTTCTTCAATTTCCAAAGTCGAATCAAAGGCGTTTTGAACTCTATTCCAAAAGTTTTCTAGGCTCTTGTCTTTTATTTTCAGTACAGACTCAGTATTTTCTTCGATCGGGGCTGATCTGAATCGGGCGCAGTAATCCATCAAATTATCTGTCTCCGATATGAATTTAGTACATATGACCGATTGTTTTGCCTTTTTTGGCTTTCCGCTTGTACGCGTAGAGCGCTGAGATTCCGCGGGGGTCTCGAGAATTTTTTCTTCTTCGCTCATTCTGGGACTTTTTGGCTTATCTTGAGTGCTAGTGAGACCTAGCATCCGAAGTCGAATGAGCGGACCTAATTAAGGTTGGGATGTGGGGGTGATCAAATACAATCGGGGCTTTACTGTGCGGTCGCAAATAATACGGTTTGAATTAATCACAGGGGAGCGCCTGGAAACCAAGAGAGTGTGGGAAAACTAATAACGCTTGACCCTGTTCACGCAAACCACAAATGGAGATAATTTGAGCGCAAAATGTATGATTACCTATCTAATGGACTGTATTTTATCTTTTCGAGCACTGTAACTGCCTTGCCTTTTTTTTATGGGTATTTGTTGTAGGGAGTTCACTGTACGTTATTTTATTTACTTTGTACCGCACTTTCTTTTATATGTCCAACACGTAGTTGGGTGTGTGTATCAATGTATATATATATATATATATATATAGGGATTACTAAACGAGGGGTTAGTTATGTATTCCCAGCTATAATTCCTTGTATGTTTGTTTGGGATTAACTGATTAGCCGCTGTATATACTATGAGCTTTGGTATATGTGTATATATATATGTACGCCAAGTACTATTTGCTTGTATGCTACAGAATGTTATGTGAAGTACGTATGTATATGTATTCTTGCAAAAGTCTTTGTGTGGGTAAAATTGGCGCAAAAAAAGTAAAATTGGCGGGAAAAATGAAAATATGGCGGGAAAATCGAAAATTTATGGCCCGAGCAAGGGAAAATGTATTACTTAATGCTGGCGCTTACTAAACATACAAGGAATTATTTTCTGCCTTTTTAAAATCTTTGTTTCACCGCAGGGTTAGTAAAAAATTGATTTTTACTCACGGTTTTGCTGGGGATACTTGGTTTTGGGGTTATGGTACTCCACCGGTGCGGCTCTCTGTTGGCGCCGAAGGACCAATGTTAAGGGGGGTCGGAGATGGTGTTGCGGTTGAAGGTCGGCGAAGGTTGCGGCGGTGGTGGCTAGATGGTTCGCTGCTACTATGGTGACGGTGACTGCCTTCTGGCGGCGATGTGGTATTCCCGCGGCGGGGAGGCTGTTTTGGCGAAGATGGGGCTGTTGTGCTCCCGTGGGTTTCGGCGGCTTCCTTGCGCAAACTCACTTGGCTTTCAAACGAGGGGAGTGGGCTGGCGCGCTTACCGACACGGATTTGGCGACTGACCAAGATTGTGACTCGCAATAAAAAAACCGAACTTGAATTTTAGGGTACAATTTCGTTTATTTAGTAATCTTGAGGACGGTGTTTTTTATTAACGCAAAGGTATTTCTGGGTTGCGACCGCACACGACAAACTTGAACAATTTTTATGTATGTATAATAATTCTTTGTTGACATTTGTCAACCTATATGTCAGCTGCGCGCGCTGCATTACCAACGCGCGTTGCCAACCACTCAAATTCAATGCAAACTACTTATAAAACTTTTACAATGCAAGTTAGGGTATTCACTAAATACGTTTTACAAGTTGGATAATTGAAGATACTAATAGGTAAATATAAATATGCAAGTTATCAATTTAAACAATTCAATGTCATACATAGTGCACTTTTGCGTTGTGCCAAATTACAATTTTAAGGAATTCAATTTTGTGAAAGGTGCATTCTTGCGTTGTGTTAAACGACATTCTTAACTCGTTTAACTAAACAGAATTTTGTTTCGATGGTGTAGCGATGTGTTAGAAAATTGTGAAAAATGTATGATTTGCATTTGTTTTGTTACTTTATGGCGGCTAGACACCAATTTTAAAAAATTTTATTAATTCGAAAGACTACAATTAAACCCTTTTACACATTTTCTACTCCTGGCCAGTTTACCAAGCTCTCATCCTCTGACGAATCGTTGAACCAAAACTCTCAGCGGTGAAAAATAGACTATTGTAAACAACCTAACCGAGCGAAATTCACAACAGCGCTATTCTCCATCGAATGAGCGTCATAATACCAAATAGAAATTCGCACGATCAGCACTTTCGACCACAGTCGAATGCAACTCATAATAGGGGCCTTACTTTTACATTTCTATGTGAGAGTGAATTTACAACAAATGCTTACATAAACAAGTAATTTTTAAGCAAAAAAAGCAAAACTGATTTCAATTCCCATCTAAGAATTTAAGATTATCGTTAATCTATTCATGATCCAATGATCGGATTTAAACCAAATTACCTGTCACCTGTCAGGTAACACCCTTCCTTTAAAAAAGAATTATAGTAATCGGTTAACGTGGTCCAAAGTTATGCGGTAACATACATAGAAAAAAAAGAATAAAAAAATATTCCGACGAATTGATAACCTTCTTTTTGTGAAGTCGGTTAAAAACAAATACACCAGCAAGCTTTCAGCGTCAAATGATTTCAGGGTAAAATTCTCAAAGCTCCCAATAAACTTAAAGGAAATAATGAAATCATCAAAACAATTTCAGTCCTCACATTAAAGCTAAAGGAGCATAAAGTTTGCATTGTTTGGAGAGTAGGGGTGGCGCGAAATTTTTTTAGCACAACAAGGGTGCCGAGGTGAAAAATGTCTGGGAACCCTGCTCTAAGTCTATTCCATGATCCTACAGGGATGCAGAGTGGCGACAACACACACGTACATACATAGTACATGATAGTCCGCACAAATCGCGTGCTGTGGTGTTGATGAAAATTCAACATTTGAAGGAACATTTATATGCCTGGGTGTAGCTGAATGCGCAAAGATGCTTGCCACAATTTGTTGATATCCAGAGACGGTCAGGTTTCGAATTCCACTGCAGGCAACATGCAAATTAAATATTTTTTTTTGTTTTTGTCTTGATTATTCACTTCACGGATGCTTTTTCAGAACGAACGCGGTATTTTTAGAATGCGCGTAATTGAATTGAATATTTACCAATAAACAGTATTTTCGATGACGTTTATAGTAAGATCAATTACGTTTCTATTTGATTTTAATATTTTTTCCCCTCAGTGTACACGTTTAGTTATATTTTCTGTTGCTGGTAGTAATAAATCTAACACCTCGGAAAATAGATTGATAGATAGATAGATAGAGCTTCGCGGAGGCTCTTCATTACACGATCGGATGTGATCAGTAACATATTTGTGGACATTTGACGAAACAATCTCTTTCAAAATTACTAATTTTTCGGGAGAGCGAAAAAACATATTAAATGCTTTCCACAACATAAGCTTCTTACAATGAAATAAAAATGTTTGTTAAAACTGGACACATATCAATAAAGAAGCATTTTTCAATAAATTCGTTTTATTTAATTCGTTTTAATTAAATATATAGAAAATATATAAATAAGACCTTTTTATCAAATGATTTTTCAAACAAAAAATCATCTTATTCCATTCAAGTTGTTTTGTTAAATTGAGTTTGAGTAAAATAGTAAAGGGTTTTTTTTTTGGGTAGGGTCAATACCAGGGTTGCCAACTTTTGCATTCTTTAAACCGGGATGCACAGTAAGTCTGTTCTTTTGCTCGTCCGCAGGTGCCCGAAAGTGCCCAATTTGTGTTTCTTTGGTTCATTCTCGGGCTGTTGAGAGCCACTTTGAGCGGTAAATATTTGCTTCTCACTAGCCCGAAGTCGACCGTACTATTTTTCCGGGCGAGTTTGTGAAAACTGTCAAACTGCCAGAAGAAGAGAAATAATTTTAAACGTTCAAAGTTTAGCTAAGAAATAAGTATGTGCATATTCAGCAGTTTTTCTTTTATCGATAAGTGAAAAAATATCAAGTGAACCATTAGTTTAACGTGCGATTTGACGTTTAGAGCCCTACCGTACTTGTCGTCCGTATCAACATATCAAGTGCTGTTGATAGAGAGAGAGAGAGGGAAGCAACGACAAAGTCACCTTCACGAGGTGGTGCATGTCAGCTGGCACGGTCTACGCTTTTACGTCGGTGGCTGGTTGAGCTCTTAGTGTCCGGTTCGAAAATGGGTAAAAACTCAGTGGGTTTTTGGACAATTTATTACTTTTGTGAGATCATTTCGCACTTAGATAGATAGTTAGTCGAATAAAGTACTGCGACCAGTAGGTCTATTGTGCCCTCGACTTATCACAGTACCTCACCTGGCCCTAGAGTCTCCAGAAATTTCAGAATTGATCCCAGGGTAGAGAATGTATGTGGTCCTCTCTGGGCCCTAAACTAGCCCGAAAATGTAAAAACCAAACTTATGTTAGGAAAGAGGGGAGGTTAAATTACGCACACAATATTTAAAAAAATACATCAATTTCAATATTCTACTTTGGGAAATTTTCTATTTAGAAAAAATAGTAATATTAGGCCATAAATAACAAATAACTTAAGGACGAGCACACATAAAGTTAAACATTCTAAAAATAGAATATGTATTAACAAAAAACTAACAAAAACAACAACCACATAATCAAGTCTAAATAGCAGCCCTTGATTGTTGTTGGGTTTACATATGAAAAAGTGGAAAAAGCAACAATAGTTTACGCGGCGAACTTAGCTCATTGGGTAGACCATTGCTTTTGTAACCCGAGGTCTCTGGTTCATATCCCAGTCCCGGCGGTTGAAAAAGTCTGATGAGGAGACGTGGTGGTCTACGAAATTGCAGCTATAACATCTACCAAAATGTAAATTACTTTTTTTTCCACAAAATTGGTCATTAATAACGGCTGAAGCTCAATAAAATTGTTGAATATACAATTTTTATAAGGCCATAAATAACAAAAAAAGTAACCTTTCATATATAAAACGAAGCTTCAATGATAATATTTCTATATGTGTCGGAATAAACTATTGGCGCAGGGAATTTTTCACAATATCGGAAACATTTTTTACTTAAAATTTTACGCGCATTTTTTATAAAAATATTGTTCATACTACAACAAAAACCATAAAAAATCTCTGCACTTCTTGCCAAACTCAGGAAAATTCAATAAATGTGCATACAAGTTGGCACTTTAGTATAACAAAGTGCTAGTTTGAAGTACGGATGTTGCGAATGTGGAATTTTAGACATCCGCGGATGCGAATGCGGATGCGGATGTTTAAAAGCTAAGATCCGCGGATCCGGATGAGAATGCGGATGTTAAATATTCTTAAGAAATAATTTGGTGAGTACATTAGGTGATTTAGGTAAATAAAAATTGAAAAAGTTAGTAATTTTTTAATGTTTTTTTTATTTAGTACTTCAATTAAAAATTCGAACATTGTATTTAAGAAACCCGTTGGAATTGGATTAATAAATAAAATATATAAAATGTAAATATTTAAAGAGTTCTAAATTTTTTTTCCCCAAAAGCCGGGACATTTTGCGTCCTGGCAGGCATTGTACCGGGACCGGGACATAGCTCATAAATCTGGGACAGTCCCGCCGAAAACGGGACGGTTGGCAACCGTGGTCAATACAAGTGTATTTGAGAAAGCAACTTTTTAAAATTTGCATTTGGCAAAACAACTTCAATCGAAAGAGGTTGTTGTGCGAAATGCCAATCGCAGAAATTGCACAGACGATAAATAGAGACAAGTTGTTTTGTTATAATTTTTCCTATGGCAATTAGTTTAAATTCCATCTTATTCGAAAGAAGATCTTTTGTCAAACGCAATTTCGTAAAAAATAAGAAAGAAGTTCATTATAAGTAGTGCACGGACTTTACCAAGTTATTGGTGGATCTACCAACTTTTTAGCTATATTATATTTTCTAAAATTTTTACCAACAAAGGCTAAAAATCTACCAATATTTTGCGAAAAGAAAGCAAGAGGTTTAAGAGGTTTTCCTGAGTTATTTTTATGGACACATTTTTTGTACTTCTGATTTTAATATTTAACGAACGATACGTTATATGTTACACAGAGCGGGGAGAAGCTGAACATATAGTTGCGTTCCAGATAACTTAGTGTAAAAACTTGTAAAACTGTCAAATAACAAAATTACTCTCTTG